GCAAGAGAAAGTTAGTATATTTGATATACATGTAAATCACGATTAAATACAATATATATATATATATAAAATAATTACATTTAATTTGATTTATATATATTTGAGATACATATATTTATTGACGGATAACATATATTAATAACAATATCTTTCTCACAAAATATAATTGAAAAAACTATTTCAACATGTAATTAGAAGGAATAATAGTTTGTTTTATGGTGTTTTTCCTCTAAAAAAAACTCAGAGGGTCAACACCGACCCAAAATAAAGTAATTAAATAAAAAAAAGTGCATGTTGCAAATTGCAATATTGGAATTGGCACCCCCAAACAAGACAAAAGAGGAGAAGAATAAATAAATAAAAAGCCCTAGAATTAGGTGATTAGTATAATCATTGAATCGAATCGTATTCCCCTCATTCTCGAAGTTGCAGCAACAGAGTAGAATCAATGTCCTCACGCGATAGCAAGAAACCCTCTAGGCAAACCTCCGGTAGCCGTGCCGGTGGAATTCGTACACTTTCCGATCTCAATCGTCCATCCGGTCACGATTCCGACAGCGATTCCGATGGTCCCCAAGAATACTACACCGGTGGTGAAAAAAGGTACTTCTATCAATTTGCTCAAACCCTAATTCCTCTCGCCATCATTCTCTATTCCTCAATTGATTAATCAGCTGTTGACTTTTACACATTTATTCTCAATTCCATAAATCAATCAACTAACTATGCCAAAATCGAAAACTTAGCTGATTGCAGTATGTATGAATCTTCTATATTCATGAAGGGGATTGGAGATAATTAGATTGTTTTTTTATTCAAATTATGTTTAGTTACTTCTCCATAGTTGCGTTTAGTTGAACATATATTAAACTGTTATATGTTTGCACGTTTTGATAAGGAATGATGTGTTAGAGTTTGCTAAAGCTGATGTGTTCCATGTGAATTGTATATTTGCTATGTTATTCTCAGCAAAAGGCAGAACCTTTTACCATTTTCCTTTTGTAGTTTGTTCTTGTTAGAGGTTTTCTGTTGTAGTTTGTGAGTTTGTTCTTGTTAAAAGGCACCATATGGGATAAAAAGGTTGTATGTTTAGTTGCAGGTAGTCTGATTCTTTTGTTGCTAGTGCGGAGCTGGTGGATTTAGAGAACTATAGTCCATTGTTGTTGATATTTTCAGAATGATTTTCTTGATCATGTTTTTATAGAGAAAAGAGTGTTCCCTAGGTAATACAGAGGTAAAAGTAGGGTGTAGGATGAGGTTTTTGTGTGTTTTGGGATGGGAGTGGGGGGGGGGGGGAA